ATAATGATATGATATAATTTGACTTGATAACATTTTTAATTTGTTCATTTTGATTGATTTTGTTTAGACTTTGTTGGACTTGATTTGATTTACTTTGAATTAACCTACAACATTTTTGCGCCATAAATGAATAATGAGCTCAAGTTTGTTGCAACACCCCGACGGGGTCATGTACCACTCACTATGAACCAAAATAAGACCTTATAATAAATAAAGTACATGTGCAATGTGAAATAAATAAAATAAAATATAACTCTTTTTAAGGTACGAAATTATTAACTTTTAAATTAATAACTCGATCCAGCGCTAAGTGTCGCCGCACACGGGCCACCGACCACAACCACAAAACGCCACCACCGGCATATTTCTTGTAGTTTTCATACATTTTATATTGACTCGCCACACATACGCCGGATACGCCGGTGGCCGTCACACGCTACAAATCGTCGTTGATCGCTTCGCCCGCACCGGCCACTTAATGCGCCGATACAAAACGCCGCCACACGTCATTCGCGCGATTCCCCACCCCTCTCTCCCTTACCTTAGTCGGCCGCTGTCGCGCGCTTCAGCCACTTTAGTAGCCGCTTCTAGCTTCTCGTGGCGGCGTTTGTGGCTGTGGCGTGTGGCCCGTGTGCGGCGACACTAAGGGCGCTTTCAATTTATGCGTTTTTTGACGTCCTGCTGCGGTGCCGAAGCGGTGCGTTTCTCGTACAGCGTACGGACGATCCTATTTTTTCATACAAAACGCGCGGTGCGGCAACAGTCCTGTTGTCGAGCGTTCGCGGTACCGGCGCCGCACTGATTTCGGCCGTCAAGAAACTTAACAATTGAAAGCGCCCTAAACTATAAACTAGACATGCTTCTATTTCTTTCATTCCATATAAGACAACTCATTTCACGAATATGAGAGTATTCCCCCTCTGTTATGTTTGTTTGGCGCAGTGAACGTTTCGTAGGAAGTTGCGTTAAAGCAAGCATGAGACCCTTAATGTTGTTAGCATATTTTGCATACACCAACAATTGCGTACAGATCAACTTTGCTGCTATAACGATAATATGGAAATATGATTTGGAATGAAACCTACAAAATGTGAACACGCAAAAGTCCTTCATGACTACGTTTTAAAGATAACGTCTGTGTTTATTTATTTATTATCTTAGAAAACAGCGTTTTTCCGATACAAAATTTACAGCAGATACCTTTTCTAAACTATGAATGACAGGTTTTCCTTAACTAAATTAACAATAGGTGACTATCCATTAGTGTCAAAATACAACTCTCTATGTCAAAATTAAATATTTTTTTATACTTAAATTATTTCGAATAATGAATAGTAGCTTAATAAAAGAAAAAAAATACAATTAAAAAAAAATCGACGGGTTGCGCTCCGGGAGTGCCGGCAGAAGTGAAAACTTGAATATTAACGTTGTGCATTTTTAATATTTTGGAATGGTAAGGGAATAATTTTGCACGAATTGCATTAACTATCAGTACAAAAGTACTGTAATGTATGTGGTAGAATACAATATTTATTTATTGCGCTATCGTACACAAACGTGACAATTTATATTACATTATAAAAGTTTATCTCTCAGAAAAATCAACTAACATGAATCACATTTAAGCGCACTTAGTGACATCTATTGTAAAGAAATCAACTTACATGAATCACATTTAAGCGCACCTAGCAACATCTATTGTAAAAAAATGCATTTTTTCGCAATAAAGCTGCCACGTGGACGTCCTAGATAGAAACTTATTATTATAATACGATAAAATAAAATATTACTATGTTTAATCCAATATGTTGAAAGTCAACAACCTTTCCAATTTTATTGTGTGTCATGATCCGATCAGCCCACGTGTTTAACCTGACGCTAGTTTAACATTTTTTATCCATACAAAAAAAAAGTGTACAACGCCGCTAAAGAAGTTTTCACTTCAAAAATTACCGAGCTCAGGATCGATCCATCGATCAGTTGGTATCGCTCCGAAGATCGTTGCCGTTCGACTATCCGGAATTTCTGGTAAATGATAAAATTACGGATACCAATCTTGTGTCAAGTACTCTACTTCCATTTCATCGAATGTCAAATCACAACGGTGTTAAAGAAGTTTTCACTTCAAAAATAAATGTAAAATAACTAAACGCTTTCTAGATTGCAATCACAGAGACATGATAAAGTTTGGTTAAAGAAGCACAGGTTGAAAGTTTGGGAAACTTCAGACTGAGGTAAGACTAGGTACTTATTTTGAAGTTCACTATCTAAACGTTAGTATGCGAGTCATGAAGATAGAATATGTTCGGAGAATTGAAACGCGGTATTCAGTTCTACGGAAAGTTTCACATTATGATAGTTTTGAAACAAATGGAGTAGGGGTTAGATAAACGTAGAAAATGAAAACGTGCGGGATGAAAGATAAGGCTTTTCGTTCTAAAATAAAGACTTATTGTTGCGTTAGATATCTGTAATTTTTTGTGAACATTGTGGGTTTGGTGTGATAAGCATTACCAATTTTATGTTGTAGTTTCGCGCATACATTAATCTAATTTGGTACACCTATGGGAACTAAACTTCCTCCTCCGAACATGAAACTTCGGTTTAAGGTAGGTGAGTATAAAGGAAAGGATTGTTCGCAAGAGAGCTTTGACCATGTTGTTTTTAATGCTTCGAATAGGACGTTCTAATTCTTTTTGTATGTTTGACGTGGAAGTCTCTTTTTGTGCGAATACTGAAAATACAGTATACATAAGTGCGTTAAAAAACGTTAAACTTATTTTGACGGGCGTAAAAATATATGGAAAAGACTCTTAAAGCTTTTGCTCAAGATTTTTGCATACAAATGCAACGGCAAGTAAACTTTAGGCGCTCTGCGAAAATCGTGGGGCCTTTTTCATAAATATTTTCTATCTATCATATTTCTTCTTTCTTGATATTCCGAAATTTAACCCTTAAAAAAATATTTCTAGAATTTTTCTTCCAAATATGGCCTTAATATTACAAAACATACTTATTTATTGCAACAACAATTCATATATATCATAATATTTATTGCAAAAATGCACTTAATTTTATTAAATATCAGCATTTCATGTTCACTTTTTGTGTCATTCGCTGTAGTGTTGTCTTAAGTACATACATATTTATTAAATTATCTTCATCCTATCACAATGCTCACCCTTAGGTTGTTTATTCATGCTAACAAGTTAAACAAGCAAATGTTTGCCTCTGAAAGTTATAAAGTTACAAGTTTCTATTAGTTATTATCCCATGTTCTTGTAATGGATCAATAAATGCCAATAATCTCGGGAATAACTTTGTTCTTCTCTTTCAATTTCTACACAGAGTTATTGGGTTAAAAGAATTCTTCAATAGTAGCAAGTAGGTATTTAATATTTCCAAACTTTTTATTTACAGATCAACAAGTCTTACAAGTAAATTAATTCTATCCATTTATCCAATCTAATTTGAATTGTGTTGTTTCATGACAATGCACTCACGAAACAACAAAATTCAAATTGGATGCATAATGTTATTATATTACGCTCTTTTAAATCTTCCATTTTCTTTCAATTACAGTCATTGCTATGGTTTTTATCGGGTATTCTAGTAGACTTTAAAAAAAATACTGAAACTGAATAACATGAAATTGTAAGTGAAATAATTAATATTCCAAGCCAGATGGGAGCCAGAGACGAACAAAATTTGCGATTGATAAAAACTTTCAACAGAAAGGAATGTATTATAGACAATATGCTGACATTTTGATTACATTCATTCATTTTTGTGTGCAGTCAATTCAAGTGAGCTTAAACGTCATTACATGTATTCTTGCCCTCTCCCTATATAGCTAGCTTTTTCTTCTTTATAAGCCAGAGTTCACCCATTGTCAGACTTAGAAGCTTACTTCATGGTCTCTCCACGTGACCCAATTCCTCGCTACCCGCATCCAAACCTTTCCCCACTATTTTGGTGATATTCTCCTTGCAAAATCTTTTAAATGTTTATCACTACATAGTAAAAAAAAAAACAAAGTCGCTTTCTCTGTCCCTATGTCCTTTTGTATGCTTAAATCTTTGAAACTACGCAACGGATTTTGATGCGGTTTTTTTAATAGATAGAGTGATTCAAGAGGAATGTTTATATGTATAATATATGCATAATATAGTAGAGAAACACTGATAATTTTAGAGGTTTTTAATGTAAGGTCGTAAATAAACACATTTTTTGCGCTTACATTGCAAACGCTGGCTGAACCCCACGAGATAGATCAAAATAATGTACTACAGTATTGTACACCTTAAAAATGTCTACAAAAAAGTCCGCGATGGTATATATCTATCTCTTAAGGATAACCAATTTTTATCCTATACTTTTTAGGAGAAATAATAGATTATTTACGAAGCGATTTTAAGCAATATAACATTCATCCTTATCCAATTAAGTACCTTAAATACATTGTGCATTTAATATAGAACAATTTGGCCCTTTAACGCATATAATTTAAATGAATATTTTCGAAGATATTACAAATTTAAAATTCAGGGACATAGCGGTTCCGACGCTACCGGGCTTGGCGGCGCGTGCCTATTGTAATTGGGTATTAGAAGAATGTCATTGTGTATAATACAAGCCTGAGGACAAAAACTATAGTCTACACTATAGCTTTACACCGAAGCGAAGCGAGGGCGGGCCACTAGTTATTAATAAAACTAGTCTACTCACTCATAAAGGTGATGGCTGAAAATCGGTATTTTGCTTTAAAACTGGCAAATGTTTAGCCGAGCCTTGGCCTTTTGCTTTCTGCAGCATACATATGGATATTTCAAAGCTGATTTCTTGTACTTTTTTTATTGTATTACTCTGTCTGTAAATGTATGTTGAAGAAAAAAAATAAACGCATTATCTATCTATCTATATCGTCAATCGAGCGCATAGTTCGTCTTCCCACTTTGTACAACTATAATAAGACACTAATCCATAATTTTTGCCAACAGGCGGCGCGAACTTCGTCAACCCATACGCAAACGACGACCGGCCTGACCTCACCCAAGTATGGGTGGAGATCCCCCCAGCGCTGGTTGCGCTCGGCGGCGATGTGCGCGTGCGCGTGCATGGAGCGCTAGGAGGCTCCGCGCTGCGCGTGCGACTCGCGCGCGAAGACGACTCCGGCCGCGCACAGCTCGCGACCATGCCTCTAGCACTTGACTCCGAGGGCAGAATAACACTGCCCTGCGGATACTTCTCCAGAGGAGGCGTTTACTACCTAGAACTCGTTAGTGATAAAGAATTTCTCGACTACGACAATGTTAACATTAGCGATACAAAAGAAAAAGACGCTGAACTCAACTTGAATAAAGATAATGATAACGCAAGAAGTGATACTAATAGTGAAAATAGAATCAAAAGAGATGTAGACAGTGATGGTGTGATAATAGAAACGGGTGATAGTGTAGTGAAGTTTTGGAAGTTCGATGTTATGTGGCCTACGGCTAAGTTGGACGTAACGCCGGAACAGATACAGACGTATCCCGAGAGGCAAGTCACGGCGATTCTGGAGTTTCCGAAGGTGGTGTGCACTCCTGTGGAGTCGAGTGCTGACTTTTGGTTGGAGCTTTTGTATTGTGGACATTCAAGTGGCGGTGCAGTTTTATGTGATGGCAAGAACACCAGTTCCAATGCACACGTCTTATATTCTGAACAGGTGAGTTGACAGTCTGATCCTTCCATTTTGTCATTTAAAAAAAAGGAAGTTCTAAGGTTAAGTAACTTTGTTCTTAGTAGTTTTATGTTGAGTTCTTCTAAAAATAAAGATATTGTATCGACTAATATTGGAATCAGATTACTCTGTAGTAATAATTCTCTTTTCCATTGACTTAGATATTTGTATATTATTTCGAAATTTGTGTACACACAGTATACAAAAAGACTTAATTTAACGTAGGTACTGAGTGACGACAAGGACTTGGCGACTATTTAAGATTATTTGTTTTGGTTTGATTACAGATTATTTTCTAAACTGAATCTTTGACTTTAGATGCATGGTTTCCCGGGTCGACGGACATTGACTCTTCGGTGTGAGCTATTCGGACAAGCCGGGGACTACGCGCTGACGCTTAGACCAGCGGCTGCAACAGGGCCCCAAGATTTTGCATCAGCTTTCATTAAGGTATGCAAAATTATAACATTCGATATAAAGAAAAAATCTACTTCGTCCAGATTTCAGGTTGGATTTGCAGTAGCACATTTCACTATCCAAATAAAAAAATGAGCAAGCCTTACAGTAGTCGCGTATGATGTGTAACATTTGAAACCTAACCGTATATTAGTAAAAAAATAAATAAAACCTACTACAAAAGGAATATGCCATTTGAACATTATGTTCTAAAATCAAATCAAATAGCGCGCGCTTTCGCGACTTCCTGTTACACACTTCTGTTCCATTTCACGAAATCACTCCCACAAATTGCAGGAAAGCGAGAGGAAAGATGTTACACATTAAAAATGTTTATCCAGCTTAGGCTGTAACAGGCACTCATGAAAGTCTGGAAGCTACGCCATCGGTTCGTAAATCTACGACGGGGACCCTGTATTGAGAAGAACCGGCATGAAGCTCAAAAATGGCTGTTTTTTCCCTCCCTGTATTATTCAATAGAGTCGTTAAGTTGTAAAATGACTTCAGAGATGATTTCATTATCCGCCGGGTGAATGCACTAACAGCAGTAGCGTATGTCAATTGTTTTCTTATTTGTAATATTAGCCCCAAGTAGCAACGATATATTTTTTTTCTAATAAAGATTTCATTAGATCTAAATATCTAGCAGTTTAAGCCATGAACCACCACGATTTGCAATGAGGATAGGTAAGTGCTAGTGAATGCAGATGCATCCAGGACCGATACCAACGAACGATGGAGATCACAATAATAAAATTTTGGTCATCCATCCTATGATCGGCCATTGCGAATGTTTCCTAATTTTCACGTTCGCAGACCGAACGCTCTATCGAGCTCTCTCTTCCTCGGAGATATTAACTTATTTTGTAACATAATAATGCTATGTGGACATCAATCAACCTTCGTAACCTTTTTCTATAATAGACCGACTGTTGCTTTATCACTCAGCCAAACGGAACTTTATTTAAGGGAAAGCAAAATTGGATACATGTTACGAGAACTCCCAAATCTATCTTCAGTAAAATTCCTTTCCGCCCTCATGAAAAACCCTCACGAGTATAAGCTCTTCAATAAATATTTAGTTTGCTCAGCTTGGCCCATATTTTATTCGGCATGCGGGGCACCCCATAAGAATATTTTACGGCATTGTGTTTAATTCTTGGAAAAACTCATGGAAAGGTATACGGGGCTATTGAGATTCATTGCCACATTCAGTCCAGGTTTTTTGTATGGCAGCTTTTCTCTCGTAAAATGTTTGGCATGTAAATAGGTATCGTCGCTTTTTATGTCGTATGGCAATATTTATTACGTTCCTATCCTATTGCAGTATACATGAATTATTGTGATGTTGTTTGTGAACGTAGGTAATTAAAGTTGCCACTTTTGTATTGGCAATATCATGAAGGATTCTAATTGTTTCTAAATTCAAAGTTCTAGATTAATTTCAGAGAAATTGAAGATGTTCGCCAAAAAGGAAGACCTTCTGGAATTTTATTCCAATAAATCATTAAAATGTTGTTTAGCATAAAGGCAGCCATTTTTAAGGAAACCGGAATTATATATTTTGTGTTTGTAACCTTCTTTACGAAGTTAAATATGCCTAAAAGCCATTTATTTTTCATAAGGACGATCTTACGTTACATGTGTTTTTTTAAGGGTTTCGTAGTCCTGACAAGGAACCGTTATAGTTTCGTTATATCCGTCTGTCCGTCCCCGGTTTTGTTTGGAGACTATTAAGTACCGGAGAGCTGTTATTTTGTGGAGATATGTATATGAATCAAACCGATAATATGGTAAAATAAGATTTTGAAACATATTTTTAGGGTAGTTCCCCTACATGTAACCAGGGGATTTTTTTTTTATTTCATCATCAATCCCATCGTGTGGGATATCGTAGAATAGGTCCTTTAAAATTATTTAAGGGTTCATAAGACTATTTTTCGATTAAGGGATCCGTTTGCGGAATATTGAAGTTTAAAGTGCAAATTTTTGTAGGTGTAAGGTTCCCGGTTAAATCGCTTCATCCCAGGCGATGATCGCTTAGGATGAAACTTTTAGTCAGTAAGAGTATGACATAACCTTGCAGCCAGCTGGAGGGTATCCATGGGGATTTCAAACTCGCTCCCCCGCGTGCCATTCGTATTTAAAAAAATATTATGTTAATTGGTTTTTGTAATTTCCGATATAGAAAATAAAGACTTTTGCTCAAATATATTATGGTAACAGGCAACTACGGAACTATACACTACGAATGACACGACACGCACTGGGCCGTTTTTTTATTAAACGGTTTTTTAAACGGTTTTATTTAGCTCACTCCGTTTGTTTTATTCTTGGGTCAAATTTAGTAATTCAAATTTCACCCTCTTCCTGTCAACCGATTAATCTGAAATTTTGTATACACTTTGGATTTTGGTGACAATACAATTATGTTTATTCATTATCATTATAAATTTAAGATGGCCGCCGCTACAAAATGGCGGATAATTTATGTTTTATTAATCCCATCAATATGGGTATCAAATGAAAGGGCTCAACAAGCAGGATACAATATACTATAAAAATTGAAATCCAAGATGGCGGCCGCTACAAAATGGCGGATAACGTAAGTTTTATCAATCCCATCAATATGGGTATCAAATGAAAGGGCTCAATAAGCAGAATACAATATACTATAAAAAATTGAAATCCAAGATGGCGGCCGCTACAAAATGGCGGATAACGTAGGTTTTATCAATCCCATCAATATGGGTATCAAATGAAAGGTGTCAACAAGTAGAATACAATTTATTATGCTATATGAATACAATTTACTATACTATTTATTGAAATCTAAGATGGCCGCCGCTACCAAATGGCTGATAACAATTTTTTATCAATCCCACCAATATGGGTATCAAATAAAAGAATACAGTGCACTATACAACCTCAATATTTAAGATGGGCGCAGCCACTAAATGGCGTATAATAATAAGATTTAAATTTAGAAATTGAATCTATAATTTAGGTATCTGATTAATCCAGCCTGAATCCACCACCCAAGTCAAGATTTTGTATCGTGTTGAGGACTGTGTGGCGTTAGGGTGGCTAAAAATGATAATGCGAAATAAAAACTAGAAAATAAAAATAGGTAAAAAAACTTTTTAAGTTAAAGTTACTGCCTAATTATAGTGTAACATTACAAAACAAACATTTTAATCAACGATTGTAGACAATTGACGTGCCCCACGGTTTTATTTTAGTCTAGTCTATGCATATGTTTATAATTCCCATGACTGTATCTATTTTATTATTTTTTGGTTTTTAGTACATTTATCTTAAACATTGCAATGTATGTTTAACATAAAACCGTTTAACTTAAAAAGTTTTTTTACCTATTTTTTTATAATAGTATTAGATTTCCTTCTTGTACTGATCTCAATATCAATCTTTTCTTCTTAGACATAGACTGATTTTGTTATTTACATTTTTGTTCGCACCATAAACAAATTGCCGGCTTTTAAAATGTTTTTATTACTATATTTTGACTTCAGTAAAAATGTATCTGTTATCATAATACCTCAGAACAATTTGAATTTACTCTGCAATCAACATAAAAGTTTATATGCAATAAAGAAGCTACCTTACAGGGAAGAGATCCATTATTTCTCTTGAGATCCTGCAGATATAATGTGTATCAATAAAACTTTGTTGTTTTTCGTTTATCGTTCTCGGGAATGTTATTTGAAGAAATATCCCATATTTTTGAGAGTGAGTTAAGTAATTATTTACTTTCTTCTTACAATAGTACTTCCAAAGCTTCTCTTCAATTAAAGTTAGTGAAAACATAAAGATGATTATTACAGAAAGGAAATTCGATGAAAAACAATTCTCTTATCTCCCATCCAGAGAGTGGAACTTGCAAAAATCGGAGTAAATGTTAAGTAATCTCAGAAAAAATATGCTTGCTACCATATTTTCGGAGAAACTGGAGCGTGTCGGATTTTCCACTGGATTTAGTGCGCTTTTCTGTGAAAAGTAACCTCGACCTTACAAAAATCATAGCGAAACAACATTGGATTTCTGTCTACTGTTAATCTGTTACTTTAGTATCCTTTCTCTTCTGTACAACATATTGTTCAATCCCAAGTCCCCGCGCTATCTTAAGGAAAGTTTTAATTTCCTGCATAATTCTAACATGTTCTCTTTAAGGTCATCAGAAAATCTTGCTTTTATGACTCCCGTACACGGCACAACTTTTTTCAATCGTTCGTTTGCAGTGCAAGCTGTACATCTATTAGTCCAGGCAACGAATGCTCAAAAACAGGTATAGAGGGAATTGCTTAGAACACAATTTTTGACTTCGTGACTTTGTTAGGACTAGTTAGGAGGTAAACATATCAAAAGTCCCCGCCCGTAGCCCTTAAGCCGGGGGGAGGGGGGGGGGGGGCTTGAAGGTCCCATTTTTAGGTTTTTCGCATATATCTCGAAAACTATGCATCCTAGCGACATGAGACTTTCACAAAAGTGAAAGCTGATTAAATTTGCTACAAGTCTTATTCAGTCAAATTTTTTGATATCTTGTATAGTTTTCGAGATATCCGCTCTTGAAAGTCTGTAATTATGGAAAAAAAAATTGTTCCCATTTTTGCTCTATTTGACCGGATAACTCTTCAACAATGCACCCAAAAAATAAATGCCGGCCGTAGGGTTGTAGAGCATTAAATTATCTTCAATAATAGAAACAATTGCCTTTTTTTTTATTTAAGGACAAAATTGTTAGTGTAGTAGACGTATGGGGGCGGTACGGTGGGCACTAGGCCGCGTACTCAGCCCCCACGCGCGGGCCGTCCTGCGCACGTCTGTGGGGTCCTCGCAATACCCCGGGAGACCCCTGCCGCGGAACCTCGGCAAGGCCGGGAGGCTGCTAGGTGCGGAGACGCGGAAGAATCCCTAAACGGGGATTCCGCGGCTTCGCACTAAGCAGCTTAGAGGGTGTTCGCAGGGGTTTTTAG